TATGTTTGCAGAACAGCAGATTGTATACCTCATTGGCATTCATGTTACTTTGTGTGCCACTACCAGTCTGCCAAATCACCAAAGGGAAATGATCATTTAGCTTTCCCTCAGCAACTTCTTGTGCAGCTTGCATTATTGCCTTCCCAATGGATGGATCAAGGCCATACTCCATATTCACCTACAATGTAAGTGATCCAGTTCAACTCTATGAAGCTGTAAGAGTACAGCAGTGATTGCCAGTGATGAATATAGATATGCACTTGTACATAAGTGTGGCTTCTTTAGATCAATTCCCATTTCTATTCATCTTTTCCTTAAGAAATTTAAAACTCTGACTGCTCTGAGATGCATACTTGTATAAAGTAAACTGTAAACCTTATGCTTAAGAAAAAACAAGCCCTGATTGTGGTGGTGCACTCAACTGCTTTGAGGAGAAAATAAAAGAGATTAACCTTGGCTGCACATTTCTTAAGAACACCGAATGCACGTATAATAGGTTCAGGCATTCTTTCTCGATCACCGCCAATCTCAAAGTTCTGCAACGATCTTTGAGTTTGCGCCCCCCATAATCTGTAACACACTGCAAATTTAGCTACACTGCATTCGTACATGTAGTAATTCATTTTCAGCTCTTATGAACTTAGACAATCATATTGGAAGTCTTATCCTTTCCTACACTGTTTAAACAGAAGAGAAGAAGTGCTACAACCAATCAAGCTATAAAAATACAAGTAATAATGAATAGCATAGAACCGTTAACAAGATAAGTACTCGCTATGTTACATATTAGCGTTCCTAAACACTATTTGCATGGCCAAATCACATGTGGAATCATTTAATAAAATAAAACAAGCCATATATAAATTCCTTTTTTTTTAATTTTATGACAAGTTTTATATAATTTGAACCTAAACATGCTTCAGGCAACAGAAGCAGTAACCGAGGAAGTAGAATCTAAACAAATAAATATTGCTAGATTAGTATAAGCATCAAGGAGACGGGCACAAACCTATCGGAAGGAACTTGAATGGGGCCGAAAGTGTCCTTTTCCTCCCGGAATGAAGTCGAGAAATATCTCCAGCTCGTCGCACAAAGCAGCGACTCCGAGCGAACGGACGGCGCCGATCCGCTCGTCAATCGACGGGAAGCTGTAAGCATCGCCATTTCCTTCCTCCTCTGCTCCTATCATCGTTAAAAATGGAAAACAGGAAATCGATACGATAGATGATCGTCGACGCAGAAAGCTTCAAACGAAGAGAGAAAATGGGAGCGAAGACATGGTAAAGAGTAGTACCTTTCAGCAACCAATCGGCGATTATGGCCGCCGATCTAGAACGGGGACGTGGCTAACGGACCAATGGGTGATCAGATTGGGTATCAACCGTATAATGATATTCCGTACTATTCCGCTTCTTATACCGTAGTTGAGAAGCGCGCCGGGATACAGGCTTGGAGCTTGGATCTCAAGGCACTGCTCTACGCCCGGCCCAGCCCGACTCGACCCTCAAAACTACATTCCTAAAATGAACGAGCCTGGGTACAGCCCAGCAATAATCGTTAAAGATGGGGGCCGAAAATATAAGAGACAGGCTTAAATTTTACGGAGTAAATTCAAGCCTGCAGCTAGGCCCGGCCCGATATAAATATATAATATTATTATTGTTATTAATTACGGAGTATTGTTATATAATATTATTATTGTTATAAATATATAATATATTATCAATACTCCATAATTTTTTTTTTTGATCAAAAAAAATTACGGAGTATTGATTAAGCATCATAATGTCATAATCATAATATAACAACAAACCACCACAACAATAAGGTTGGGTTTGGTACAATTCAAATTTTAGAATTAGAATGGAAGAAAATAATTTCAATTCTATTGTTTTTTAATTCAAAAATACATGAATTTAGAATTGATAGTGTCAAAAATAAATTAGAATTGAAAAATTCAAATCCAATCAAATCAAATCCATAGAATTTCAACTCACAATTCAATTCTAATTTCGTCAATTACGTGTATCAACATGATCCTATGAATCCATTTGGTACGCAGAGTTGATGGAATTGGAATTAAATAAAATTAAAATTTCATAGAATAGAATTAAATGAAATTTACTTCTTCAATTTCATTTCATTTTATGCACTACCAATTTTAAATTTACATATTTGTACGTTACTGTATTACTAATTAAACATCATAACTATAATTGAAATTTCCAAATCCAATATCATGACTCGAATCTCGTGTACTAAATGGGACATAAATGTTTTTAATGTATTATATAAACTCATGTATATACATCTTAGGCAAAATAAAACAAGAGTATTTAGCCAAATGAACATATTTTTATTTTTGTTTTTTGCATATTAAACCAAGTATAAGTGTATAATTTCCAATAAATAATGATAATAATAATAATAACATAACAACAACAACATCATCAAATAAGATATATTGCATGCATTAGTCGTCCTTTGATCGTATTCTTATCATAACTATTGTATCAAAATACATATAGAATACTTTCGGTACGCGAAATTAACTGAATTGGAATTGAATTGCAAATTAAAATTCTATAAAATTGATTTGTAACTTCAGTTTAAAAAAGTCGAGTAAAAACTAATAGATTTATGTAACTTTAATTTTATTCTAGTAACAAATTTAGTTTCTTCCGAGTAAAACTCCATTGTTTCATGATACAATATAGATTTATTGATGAAAAAAGCAAATACTAGAGTCATAATATTCTGTCCGTTCAAACTTTTTTCATTTTGTTTACATATTTTTATTATCCATTTGATTAAAGAATATATTCATGCTCCATTGTTTCCGAGTAATCTTGCACCATTTTTCATATAAAATATTTCAAAATAATTTCAGTTAAACACAGTGTTTCCGAGTATTTCTTTTGTCTTCGAAATGATATCCCTATTGAAATGATGAGCAAATTTTTGTATTATTAAATTTATTTTATTTATAAACTAATATAAAAATAAAAATAAACTTACACATTAAAAAATATAATATCAAAACAAAATAATACTCCGTAGTTGATAAAAATATTTTAATTTATGAAATGACATGAAAACGTGTAGGGAGTAAACTACAGAGTCATGGTAAGACCATAACAATAAAGGATAAATCATTTCTAAAGGAAGGTAGTTTATGTTTGAAATGTACAATGACAACTGACAAACCATTGGTATCAAATACTATACCGAATATGAAACTTCTCTCACAACTTCAATGATATGAAACTCTAAGATTTACACAGAAATTCATCAAGTTTGAGTTCTAGTAGAGATCAGACATACGCATTAACATTTTGTGTTGCACTCAGCCGAAAAAAGTACAAAATATCGACATTGTAATTGAATAAATAACACACAAAAAAAGTTTGAACTGTTAATTTTATTATAATTATTATGAGTATTCTTATTATTATTATTATTACTACTACTATTATTATTATTATTCCATCCGTCCCAAACAAAGCGTTACACTTTATTATTCAAAAATTATAAAATTTTTCATTTACTTATACATTTATTAATTATTTGCTAAAATAAAATGTTATTGTAAGCTCTTGTTTTCTAAAATTTTAGACAACATTTTTAAATATATAAATTTAATGTTTATTTCTAAAATAATCGTTAAATAAAAAGAATTATAAAAATATGATTTTTTTCTTGCAATGTGATACTCCCGTTGTCCCAAATTATTTACAACATTTATTTTTTAAGCAGTCGCGGAAACTTTTGTTTATTTTTACGTTTTCATTGGTTATTTGATAAAATAAAATATTATTGACATCTCTTATTTCGAAAAACTTTTAATGTAGTTTTTTGATATGTAATTTTTTTTAATTTCTATACCAATATATAAATAAAATGAATTGAAAAAATTTTATATTTTACCTCAAGAATATAAATGTAGCAAATATTTAAGAACAGAGGAAATATCTTTTTTTTGATGGAGGGATTTTATAAACACATGTGGCAGCTGGCTACCAGGCTAGCAAGTCCAAGTCTACAAGACTACACCACATCATTGGACATGGGGCCTGTCCTGCGCAAAGCACATGTCTCTCAGAGTCTCAGGAGACTCCCCTGCCCTTGCACACACACGATCCATAATTTTGTGCCGCGCCTTTTCTCTCGTTTAAAAAATGTTTTTTTTTAAATGTTAAAATTAAAATGTATAGTCAAAATTTATTTTGTAATTCTTAGATATATATATATATATATATATATATATATATATATATATATATATACACATACACGCATACAAATATAGGGTGCTCAAAAAATTAAAATTAAAATGTTTATTTAGACACGTCTGAAATAAAAAAAGATAAACATAGTAACATTTATGAAAGAATGAACAAATAAGAGTGATTTCATAAAAGATTCTCAGTTATATATCGTTTTCCATATTTAGTTTCCACATATCAAATATCAATAATTTAGTCTCCAATTATTATATTGTCTTCCAAAAATATTCTTTTTTAACATTCTCGTTAAGAGCATGCATGGATAAAATTATAAATTTACATTGCTCTCTCTCCCCAATTAAACTTCATTCCTCCTATTGTACTTCTTCCCAAATTTGTTACCGAGTTTGAAGCTCTGACCCAAAATCATTACTCCTCTCTCAATTGTTCTTCTTCATTATACAACCCAAAATCAAAACCAATAAGCTTCGTGTATGAGTTTCAAGGATTAGTCTCAGAAAATTAAAAAGAAAATAAACTTTAAAACTCATCCATAAATGTTACGGAGTACTTGATTCGATTTTAGGTTCCACTAGGAAGACGAACAACTGAGATAAGAATGATGGTTTCAATTTTGGGCTCGTGGCTTCAAACTCGGCGATGGATCTGAGCAGTGCGAGATGATGGAGAAAGTTTAATTGAGGAAAGGGAGGAATGTGAGTTGTTAATTTTATCCTTGTTTTTAATGAGAATGTTATAAAAAGGACTATTTGTGAAAAACAATACTCCGTATAATAATTGAGAACTAAATTATTAATATTTGATATGTGGAAACTGAATATGAAAAATGATTTATTACTGGTAACCATTTATGAAAATTTACTCTTATAAATAACATATAAATTAAAAATTATTCGGTATATATCACCAACACGCTTACAAGCATTAACACATAGAAACTAGCTTATTAGAAAGAAAAGGATCAGCCTCATCTCCGAGAGCTCTCTCAGACTCGATCGAACGGTCAATGTGAAGAGGTAAATTGAATTTTAATCGTAAATTGGTGGCAAATAATAGAGCTTTGCACCATCTTGTACTTAGTATAGTTACCTCCCAACACAATTGTCAGAAATCTAATTCAGATCTTACCCTCTTTATCTCTCTTAACTTGCTAACTACACAACGCCCACCCGCCCAAATTAGCTTATTTGAGGAAGGAGTAAAAGTGGGAAAAGATTTGATTTTGGATTATTACTCCGTATATGTAATGGGCAGCGGACAGAGCGGAACGAAGAAAGCTGTCTCTTTCTCATTCTTCGCTGTCCGTTTCTCTTACCATCCGTTTTTATTAATTATTTTTCCTAAAATAATCAATTTTTCCCCTTAATTACCTATCATCGTTTCTCAGTCTCGCATTTTACACTGACAGCATCATTCCTTCCGGAGACCCGCTCTGCCCATTCTTACGGTGGACTTCTTCTTCCTTCCTTTTTTTTTTGTCTCCTTTAGAATGCAGGAGAAATCCAGGAAACCCATGAAGAGGCTAGTAAGTATGTTTTTCTTTTCTGGGTTCTTTTATTTTTTTGTTTTGTTCTTACTCCATTTTGAAGCTCTGGATACTTTTTTATCATGAATTCTACAGTCTGGCATGAATCTTTGGGTGAAAGGTTCCAATTTTGGGGGTTTCTTTTGAGGCTGAGCTGATCTGTTCTCATCTTTTGTCCTTCTGGATTGTTTTTTTATGTTCAACACTTTCTCTCCAGTGTGTCATACTGCTAAGTCTGCTATTGCTGCAAATTAAAAGATTCTTTTTTTTGTTATACCCCGCTGTATTTCAAAAGGCTGGGGAATTAAGGATTTTATATTACTTATGCATTGATCTGTAAATATGGTTTCCTCCAACTTTGATTTGTTTAACCTCTCTCTCTTTTAAATATGAAGCGAATTGTTGCCCACTGTTCAATCAAGCTTCATTATTCTCATGTCTTTCATTAAGCCTTATACGTTGTCCCGTCCATTTTGGTTCAGTTTTATATACTTAGATAGCTAGATTTAGTTTATTTGTGTTTGGTGGAGTTTTTGACACTTGAGCTCATTTTGGTAGAACCTGTCACCATATTCTGATCTGCTCATTGGCCAAAATTCCAATTGAGTGACAATTATCTTCTGGATAGCATTTCATCCCAATGCCTTTTTTTTTTAATTTTAAAAAGTGTCTGGTCATCAGCATGTTTGGCATTGCTTATTCTGTAAGCAATAAGCATCAAATTGATGCTTCTCCCTACAGGTTTTTGTAGAAGCAATTAGAATCAGCCTGTGCTTGGAGAAGCAATAAGCAATAAACACTCCCGATCACAATGCCAAGCAAAACCAATATTAATGGTAAGGGTTATTTAGGTTCATAAATAAAGTTTTGTAGATGTAATCAAAGACAACAAGCCCAATATAATCCCATAAGAAGTAGGGTCCGAGGAGGGTGTGTATAGAGGTTGTTTCCAAGAGAAAGTTTTGCAGACACTGCAGCCAAATAACTACTACCAAACAGGTCCTGTATTTTCTTGTTTATATGAAAATGGCATTTCAACATCCTCATGTGTTGATAACAGATCATTTCCAATTATTTTGACTCTATGATTCTTGTATGTGGTTTTCCTGTTTGCTCTAGCCATGGATAACAACTAGGGAATTGCTTATTTTCTGTTAAATGCCTCTCTTTATCTGCCCTTCTTCTTCTTCTTCAGGCAGTTCTCCTTTTGTTGCTGGTTTTGAATGAGAGGATAGAACACGCTAGAGCTCAAACACCGGGAGAATGCACCTTCATTAATCCTTTGAAACCGAGACCTCACAGAGCATCCGTATTGGACTTTGGTGCTGTGGGCGATGGGAAAACTTTAAACACTGTCGCGTTCCAGAATGCAATATTTTATCTGAAGTCATTTGCAGACAAAGGTGGTGCACAACTCTATGTTCCAGCCGGAAGGTGGCTGACTGGGAGTATCAATCTCACCAGCCACCTCACACTATTCCTGGAAAAAGATGCCGTTATCCTTGGATCAGAGGTTAGTACTAAAATCATCCCAGCTCAAGAAGAACATATGTTATGTGTTGTTCACTTGTTCTGCTATCTTGTGGTAAATTTTTACAGTTAATTACTGGAATAGGATTCTTCTACCTTAGTATCTGTTTGAAACCCGGAAAATATTAGTAAAAAAGGGAAGGAAAACATAGGTTGAGCAGGGAAATTTGTTAAGGAAGAACATGTAGGATAAAATAAAACATAGGCTAAATTCAATTAATTTATTTTGGATATTTGTTGGTATTTCTGTTATTTACTTATGTCCATATTATAAAGAATAGGAATCTAAACATACCCTAGATGTAGTTGTCTATATGACAAAGAAAATCACTTGATAGTGTTGTTTTCCTTTTCACTTGCACTTTCAGGGATAGAAACGTACCCTAAATCTTACCATCGACCCACTGGCAATTCTACTGCAAATAAAGTTGCAGTTACGAATGTTGTTTTGTGATAATTATGACAATTTACCTTTCTTCTGTCTCTATGCTCCAGGATTACACTCATTGGGATATAATTGATCCTCTACCATCTTATGGGAGAGGTACTGATGTACCGGGACAAAGATATCGAAGTTTGATTGCCGGAAACAATTTAGTTGATGTTGCGATAACAGGCAAGAAATGTCTGCCTTAATTATCACTAAAATTTTTATATTTATCACCATATCAAGGATACTTTAAGATGTAACTAGTCATTAATTTATTCTTATCGTGTGCCTCACGAGAGAAATATAGAAAACCCCTTCTATTATATGAATACTATAAAAAAGTTTAGCATATGCTGATAAATTTAAAATATTAATCATTTTCCTGTTTCTTTAGCATTTTCGTAGGTAAAACCAAACACAAGAAAATAACTTCCATTGCAGTTTTCTTTTCCATTTCCTAGCTCCAATCATACATTTATATTTTGTGCAACTGCTACAAATACTCGAACAGTCATGTAGTTATTTACATTTTGCAATTGTCATGACATTAAGCAGGAAACAATGGAACTATTGATGGTCAAGGTTCTGTTTGGTGGGATCAGTTTGATGCGCATGCCTTGAATTACAGCCGACCACATCTAGTAGAGTTTATTAGTTGCAGCAATGTTGTTATATCGAACTTGACCTTTTTGAATGCTCCTGCTTGGAACATTCATCCAGCATATTGCAGGTACTCTTTTTGCTGCATACAGTATGTTCCTAGTAGTTGTGTAAATGGTTAGAACTTATGGGTCTGGTGTTGCCATCTTTAAGGTCTGTTTGAATGGAAGCTTTCTTGTATGGGTTTCGGAAGACTTGATATTTGAGATTTAAAAATAAAAAAAACTCCGTAGTAATTAAAGATTAAGATCATATGTGATCGTATAACATTTCAATTTCTCCATTTGTCCTGAAAAGAACTTCTCATGTGAAAATGACACGGGATTAAGATTTTTGGTTGAAAATTTTGTTAAAAAGTATTTTTTTACGGGAAAAATGACTATTTAATATGAAGATGATTTTGGGACAATGGGACGAGGGAGTACCTTTTATTCCGTTTTATAAAACATTATTTTTTTAATGACAAGATATAGAGACTAAGTGCTCTCTCAAACTTTCATTACCAAAACCCTCCATTTAAACAGATCCTTAGTATATAGTGGATGTCTAAGATTCGCTTAATATTTTGCAGTAATGTTGTTGTTCAGAACATAACGATTTATTCTCCATCCAAGTCACCATACACCAATGGCATCGTTCCAGGTTTGTTTAAGCGAGACACACCTCAAGCATACATGTTAAGGCACTTGCACTTTGAAACCCTAAAAATCTTACTATAGCTTATCAAGAAATGATAAATGGAACTTATCTATAAAAAAGTTGTTCAAATGCTTTGATCGACTTCCCCTATGGTGACAAAGTTAAAGTCGTTGCAGATTCTTCGGAACATGTATGCATCGAGAATAGCAACATCAGCATGGGCCATGATGCGGTTGTACTCAAAAGCGGGTGGGACCAGTATGGCATTGCCTACGGTAGACCGACCACAAATGTCCACATTCGTGGGGTCCGCTTGCAGTCTAGCAAAGGTGCAGGAGTGGCCATTGGTAGTGAGATGTCTGGTGGCATCTCAGGTGTGCTTGTGGAGAACATTTACTTGCATGACTCTTCAATGGGGATTGAGCTGAAGACAGCAAGAGGAAGGGGAGGTTATATAAAGGACATCCTATTCACTCATATAGTGATGGAAAATGTTTGGGTGGGAATTAATGCCACAAGTTATGACGAATCCCATCCCGATGACACATATGACCGAAATGCCCTCCCCGCGGTCAGCAATATTACATTTGTAGACATGAGTGGCAAAGATATCTCCACGGCGGGAAATTTCAAGGGATTATCCGAATTGCCCTTCACTTCCTTTTGCCTTTCAGGCATCTCCTTTTCCGTTTCATCCTTTTCCCAATCAAACCCATGGATTTGCTCCGATGTTTCTGGGTTTTCATCTGGTGTGTCACCCGAACCATGCCCGGAGCTTTCCAGTTCATCTTCAGCTTGCTTCTCCCTGCAGCAGCCACACACATTTAGCCAACTTGCAGACATGTAAACCATGTGCACAGGAACCTGTTCAGTGCATTGAATCTCTACCAAGTAGAGACACATTCTTTTGGGGGAGCATAATCTTGGAATAATTGCAAAAGTCAACTTCAAGCAGGTAAAGATTTATCTGGGATGGCTTTGCATTGTCTTCTGTACAGCATTGCTTCTCATTGCGTGTAAGAAAAGTTTTGGTAGTGCAGTCCATTATTCACATTTACTTGGTTTTTATATTTTTATATATATATACCAGAGCGAGGACATTTTATTTTCTGCTCCAATGTTACATTTGTAAATTTGGGCATGGAAACTGTTCATGATTGTTTGGTTTTACATTGTGATGTGAAAGGTGTTTCTGTAATTCAAGCAATAAAAGGTTAAAGCCGTTTTTTCTTATGACAGTTGTTATCTGGCTGGGGAAAAGATTAAGTGACTTTTTTGGACGACTTTTAAAAAAGCACTTTCCCCCAATTAAGTACCTTTTGAACTTTTGGCTCTGTAAAACCTAAACATCATTGGGTTGGAAAGCATTTGCTTTCACGGAAAGTGATTTTATCTGTCATCCTAACTGGTTTTGTGTTCATTAGTGACACACCTGCAATTTGCACAAAGCTGGTTCAGAGACTCTTTTGCCGCAGTGGGAATTCGGCTAGAATGAATAAGGTTTTGTTGTTTTGGGTTGAAAAATAGAGTTAGAAAAAACATAGGAAGAAATTAAACATAATCTAAATAAATAAATGATATAAATATTCGATATATCAAAACTATATATCCTACGATGAACCAAAATTAGTATAACTAAATATACTATTTTCTCAATTTATAATCTAAGAGTGTCTGACAAAAAATCAAAACAGAAAAGAATTTTAGGACCGGAGGGAGTATAAAACATCAGACCATTTTCATTAGAAATACCCAAAAGTGTATACATTGGTGAAATTTACAAGAAAAAGCTTCAAAGAGCTCTATTTCATGACCTGTGCTTCTGTTAGAAGCAGCCAACAAATGTAAACAGAAAATGAGAACGTGGAGAAGGGGGTAGCATGATTAAAAACACTATACATTGGGCCTTGTTGTCACTCAACTCCCAATAAACAATGTGAAGAACAAGAAAGATTTTAACATATCTCACAATCAGTGGCTTCCCCTACTTCCGGCTCCCAGATTTGCGCTTCATTTCAACTGGAGTTGCCAGTCTTCCGCTAAGCTGAGAATATTGGGCAATCCCATTTTTCTTTCTTGAGCCTGTTTTATGAACCGAGGCCCCAGAGTTCGGGCTTTTTGCTGTTTTTGTGCTTGGTTTTGGGATCTTTGACCCGACCCCAGTGGCCACACTACTAAGTTTTGGGTGACGATTGAGTTGCCAAAGGAAATCTGGATCAGATGAATCACTAGTTGCAGGACCAAGCTCTTCCAAGTCATCAGTCGCAGTACTGTCAAACTGATTGGCTGATGGGAAAAGATTGTGCGAATTTTCTGAAACATATTTCTGGTGAAGAATGCTATGCACCTCACCATTTTCTGCTTCCCAATCGCCAAACGGGTTTTTTACTCCAGGTGTAGGTTCCTGCTTGTTGACCATGACCTTGTCCACCCACTCCCCCGTCGAAATGTCCCTATCATCCAAAAAATAAGCCCCTCCGGGACTGTTGACTGGTGGCCAGAGAGGAGAATTTCCATATATATCTTCTTCAAGATCAAGACTTTGTTGTCTCTTTTGCCATGGTGAAGAGTTGTTCACCTGTAGAAAGGATATCCTCGTAAAGAATAAAAAAATTGTAGCTATATGTCTGTATTAACATACTCTCCCCTCTTTTAGATAAAAGAAGATATATTTGACAAAGTTAAAACTTTTAAGTTTTAAATATTTGTAAGGTCATGAATTTGTTTGTTTAACTATATTAATATAAGTAACTTGTCTTTGGCAAACTAAATAAAAAATTAGTTTTGTTTGATCAAAGTGGATTACGGAGTAACAATAACAAACATGATTCTTTTATGGGATGAGAGAGTATCTATCCTGAGTTTTTTTTTAAACCAAAAGTTGAAATGATATTAGTGTGTGTTTTTACCTCTATGTTCCCTACTTCCTCCATCGGTTTCCTATTGTTAGATCCAACCAGCATGTTACATGGACTGTGTGGCATCTTTTGATGCACTGGTTCCATTTCCTTTTTTGCTAAGGCAGCCTTCAGAGAAGCAATCTGAAAAATCAATGCAATTTCTCATATGTGAAGTTGACTAGCAACTAGCAATCTATTTTTCGTGTGAATTTAAAATTTTGAAGAAAATGAAGATGAAACATTACCTGTTCCTTGAGCTCTTTTACATCAGCGGAATCTTTATTTACTCTGGCAGCACCTAGTTCCACTGTCGCAACTCGTTCTGCAAATTTTAGTGTGCTGATTGTTTCTCCTAACGCTTCAGGTTCGGGGCTTATGTGGACAAACATAAGTGTTTTGGCTTGACCTCCTATCATTTTAGTTTTAACACGAACCGCGGATTAGATGGTACGTGAAGGATTGCATGAAGAAAAAAACCAGTAAAGATACTTATTTTGACAAATCAGTACAGGAACTTAATACATTGCTTTACATCATGTCTTTACCTAGCGAATCTTGGAGAAGTTGAGTAAGTTTACTGTTCCGGTAAGGGACATGTGTGTTCTTTTGGGCAAGGGCAGATATGACATCACCAAGAGCTGAAAGAGATTTATTTATGTGTTGTGCCTCCTTAAGTCTATCTCCTGTTACTTCAGATTTGTTCACCCTCTCACTTCCAGCAAGATCAACCAAATGCATACAACCATGGAGGATTGTTCCACTTGTTAGGTCTTTTCCTTGTACATGAACGGTTAAGCAACTGCACAATGCAAAACTACAAAAATTGGCATGACCAGTAAAAGAAGTTCAAAATGAACGATGAAAGTGATAGTCGTTGTAAAAGACTACCTCATGTTTCCTCTTGAAATATTATATCAAAAACAGTTTTGCTTTAACATGACTTTTTTTTGGGACAAGATTTTGTTACAACATGACTTCTTTTATTTCTTTTTTTTTTTTTGTGTGGAAAAAAGGCATCATTCATCACCTGTGAGAGCGGCTACTGCGGTCATTGAGTGCTGTTGCCCCTACTGCCCGGTTCCTCTGCCCTAAATCCATCAGATCTATAACATCTGAAGTTGTACTTACACGAATCACGCTTGCATGAGGCACAGCAAGTCCTTGAGAGCAACTACGGATTTCTAGTCGTTTGTTCAGACCATCAGAACCAAGGAGGTCCCTGACTTGTTCATTATAAATCTCTATCATTTGAACAGATACATCATAATGGAATGTGTCCTTTCGTTGCTCTGCAAGTAGAAATAGATCTCCCAAAGCCCTGTAGTTTACCCCTTCATTTTGTTTACCGAGATCCTTAGGTCCACTCTGAAAAGCCCAGGAGAACAAGTAAGTGGAGGGTGCCAAAAAAACTAGATACTAGTCATAAAGAAGTTTTCATATCTAACCATGGTATAAGTTTTCCCAGACCCTGTTTGACCATAAGCAAAGATACAAACATTGAATCCATCCAAGACTGATCTGATTAGTGGTTGCATATCTGCAAATACCTCCCCTGAAAATGAAAAAGAAAGCATGATGTAGAGAACACCAAGAAGAGAATTGAGAAACAATATGATGTTAAAATCATAAAGATTCCTATGAACTGCAAACCAACCTTGAGTTACAGATGGTCCAAACACTTTGTTGAAATTGAAAGACCGGCTTCCTTTCCCATACTTCGTTGGAGCGTGAATTGTAATTGTACCTTCTTCAATGTCATCTATGATACTTGAATGGCTTGGTTGCCCATGTAAGAAAGGTCTTACTCTGCAATAGACCCTAATACTTCCTGGTTGAATACAAAGTGTAACCCTTTAATTTCGATGCTTGGAAACCATGTGTGATAAGAGTCTCATGAAAGAATTTCTACTACCTTTAAGATCTTGGACTTGATTGTAAAGCTTACGGTTTTCTTCAAGAACTCTATGATAGCCTGAAGCTGCATGTGCTAGGCCATGTATGTGTTGGCCTACAAAGAGGGGATGTTATTGGATGGAAAAACAAGCTCACTATAGGACTAGAGATAAAGAAACCCGGATTAGTCACGTAAAAATGTAAACTTGCTTGCAATACAGGTCACTTACCAATATTCTGGAGTTCCTCATAAAACTTCTTTTGCATGAACTGTACGCCTGCTTTTGTAGTACACAGAGTTTGTTTAAGATCCTACAGCAAAATTCCACCTTAGATTGTTTGCACCAAAATTTTCTCCTTTGTGGAAAAAAAAAGGCTAAATAGAGACGAGAATTAGTCATTACTTCTCACCTTAAGATCTCTTTGTTGTTGATCAACAATTGTTTGGTGACTTGTGCATCTTGTTTTAAGTTCTAAGTCACTAATGGCATCCTCTTTTTTCACCACTGCCGTATTAGCTTGTTCAACCTAGTTCAAAAAATAAAAGAAAATCAAACACGAGCTATCATATTTCAATATTTCATTAGCTACTCTTTTCCACTAAAATTACTAAGAAAATCTTAAACTTGGCATCAGAGTAAGATCAATACGATACCTTTGTGTTCCTAGAGTTATTTATAGAGGTTCCTTTGTTAGCAAGAGACCCAATTGAGTCATTGGAAGTTGCTCTGCTTTGCTGTATATATGTGAAGAACAAGTCAGAATATGATGAAGTCTTGAACTAATAAATGAAATCAAGAAGTTGAGCAGCCACAAAGGAAAATAATGCACAATGGCGCCAAGAACCATCACTTATTAAAAAGGGTGGAAAAAGTAACTTACTGCTTCACTTTGGCTAGCCACACGCTGCTCAAACTCGTCAACAACCTTCTTTAATATAGACTCTACAAGCTGTTGCAAACAAAAAGTTGCTCAAACTCAGAGTCAATGGATATACCACCCAGAAATGACTAATGAGGGTATGAACAAAAAATTTTAGCTAGCCAGCGGTAACTTCAACAATGGAGTCCAAAATTTGGCACAAACACAACAATGTAAGTTTTTATAGTTTGCCGACCTGTTTGGGGTGGTTTCAAGTTGAAGCTTCTTTCTTGTTGAAAGTAAAAACTAGATTTTGGAAACCAGATTGAATGGTTTTCTGTTTTCTATTGGCAGTTCTCAAAATTAACATGATTGGTATGAGTTGCCAATGGTTTTCTGTTTTCCATTCATAAAACTAAAAATTGACAACAGAGTAGAAGAAAAAATGTGAGCATTTGGGAGCTTACATTTGGAACCTCTTCAGGCCTCTTATCTGACAGAATTCTACGAACAAGGTTGCTCAAAGTAGGCTGCACAGAAAGAAATGCTTCAACATATAATCCCGCGAGTT